CCCAAAAAGGGAGAACAGAGGACACAAATTTGCATGGATTTGGTTCATCCCTGCAAGTTTAAAGAAACATATTACAGTTCAAATCTCTCCATCTAAGCCAGCAGGAAATTATAATGGCATGACTGTGCTGTCCTTTTGCTGATACCTAACCTGCCCTATTGCTCCACTTCACAGTCATTTGACTGTCCTCCAAGGATAGTGGGTGATAAATGGACTTTATTTCTTTACAGGGTGTCCGTGGCCTGGGTCAGAATAAGGCAGGAAAATATTACCTTAATATTGCAACAGGTGGCTTATAGCTCTCAGCAGCTGGCGATGAGCTGAAGTCAGTATTATGAGGACAAAGGAGGCAATTCGTGTTCTTGAGGAATGATTGTGCCATGGTTAGGTGGCTAATATTGTAACAGGTTACTTATAGCTCTCCCCAGCTGATGTCATGAGGACAAATGAGGCAGTTGCTGTTGTCAAAGAATGATGGTGCCATGGTTAGGTATGAGGGGACACCTCACCTAAGATGCAATAAGCTTCAGGAGATCAAGAACTATAGAGGTTAGCAGACACAGTGCTATTTTTGCCTCTTCTTCTGCACAGAAAGGAGGGAGTCACTGGGTGAGATTTAAGTGGCCCTTCAGTTCTTGACCACCATCCATTCTATGTCACTGACAGCAAAATGGATTTTAAAAGATTAGGAAGGTGCTCATTTTATGGACGTGCCTGATCAAAGCCTATTGAAACAATTGCAGTCTCTAGAATGTCTCCAGGGTGGGATCATTAAGGCAAGATGAGGGCTGCGACGATATGACTGAAGCCTTGACCCTTTTTTACATTCATCTCATGCTCAACACAGGAAAAAAAAGGCTGGCTTGGATCACCTCATGGTCACAGCTGCTGTCTTGATTCTTGGCCTCCCACCCCAGGTGGATTTTGACCTAATCGTAGTTGTTTCTGCTTGGAAATGCAAAGACCATTTTAAAGACTCAGGCTGTTGCAAATATTGCAGTATTAAAATCTCACTTTTTTCCCTCATTCAGAACAAACTCATCCCAGCCCCTCCATTTCGGTGATCCCCAGTGACATGGTGGTCCAAGGAGAAAAAGTCACCATCCAGTGCACAAATGAATATGACCAATTTGCAGAATTTAGTCTCATCAAACAAGGGGCTTCAGAACAACCACCAGCCAAAAGCACAGTGCAGAAAATAGCCGAATTCCTTATTCCCAGTGCCCAAGAATCAGACGGAGGGATCTATTTTTGTGACTATCGATTATACCAGAGCTTTGACAGATACTCAAAATTCAGTAACAGAACATATATCAATATAACAGGTAAGGACAGGATTCATTTTCTTCAGAGTTCTTTCACAAAAGAGACTTCAGTGTTTTTGCATTTTCTGTACATAGAATACAAATAATATTAGCAGCTGAATTCTCTTTTTCATCCATCTCTTAATGCATCTGCAACTCTATAAACTTTCATTGTTCTCCTGCAAATCAAAGAATATACAAAAGTCATAATCATAGTGTGATGCTACCCTCTGTTGTAGGGTGACAGACCATGCTGTAGAATGAAGGCCTTGGTAGCAAACTAGCAAACACAAAAGCATTTGTGTTCCCTTTTTTGTTTTTTGGGGTTTTTGGTGCCTTCGAGCCAGTTTTTGATTCCTGGCAACTGCCTGGACTAGTCCCTGCAGTTTTCCTGGCAAGATTTTC